TTACGAGTAAAGTCATACCACTGCTCTTACCGGATGTCCTCTGCCCAACATGTAGCTAAATTCTTCTTTGCTATTAACTGGTAGCATCTTACACTGCAGCTGGGAAGAGTACACAAGCACTTCTCAGAAGATTTGCAAAGTAGTAAAAACAGTAAAAACAGTTAACCGAAAACATGGTAGAAGTTTTCATTTTCGGACTCGGAAAAGGCAGAATATTTTGTGAAGCCAACCTAAATTCTGAGAGTGGATCTTCTGAGAGTTTGCTCTTGAAAGAGGCAAAAGCACTATGCTATTATTTACAACAGAGCTTTGCTTCATAGGGTAACATATTTGTACTCCGGAAAAAAAAATCCAGTGACATTCTCTTGATGGAATAATCAGATGTTAAGATCCAAGTGTTTTTGGATCGTAATATAATTCCACATCAAAAAAAAAAAAAAAGAGTGTAAAACTGTACTAAACTCTATATTCACAAACACAAGAAGAGAATTCTAAAGGAGAAATGGCACAGCTGAAATACTGAATTACGGCTGCATTCTAGCTCGACGACTCTATAGCTCTTTTGGACTTCAGAGCCCAGCCTTTGCTTCCTGCCCATGCAACATTACTTTCTCAATGTGTGTCTGAGAGACAGAGACAAAAAAGTTTGAGTAATACAGAGCAGGGGTGTGTTTGTATCTGTGTGTGTGTGTCAAACTAACAAGATAATTTCATGCATTAGAAAATATGACAAGTGCAATTTATGAATGCTTGAGCAGAGTGAAGAAAAGCCATGAGTCAGCAATGCCATAGTTAACGAGTAAAAAACTATTCCAACCCATTCCATGCTCTATACCTGGCTGCATGAGGCTGTTATAGAGAGGCAGGAGGTTGTGCAACCACTCCCCCATTACACTAATACACTTTAGTAGGCAGTGCTCAACAAAAGGGTGGGGATAAGAAGGTTACAGCTCCCCAAGGCTTCCTAATAAATCCATCTCACCTCAATATGTTACATAATGATATAATGTATTATATTATTATAAGTAGTGACATCATAATAAAATACAGGAGTGCCACTCAAGTGGCGAGGAACACCTAAGATATATTTTTATACTTGTAATTCAGTTCCTGTATTTTTTAATTACAGATAAGAATTTAAAATGAAATTATTCATTCCGTAACTACTGTTGTAATGGATCCCTGGCATATAATTAAGAGGCCTTTAATTTTAATTTTGTATACTGAACGCCTGTTTTTGGAGGTATTCTATCCTCTTTATTCAGGGCCCATACCTGCAAAGCTTGAAGCTTCCATTGCCGTGGAAGCTAAAGAGGCTGTATAGTTTGCAGATGTAACTTTTATAACAAGAGCTTAGCTTTTATAACAATGGCTAAAAATAAGATGGCTTTAAATATGCTGCAAGGCATTTCCCTGCCTTCTGATTGTGACCCATTCTGGTGGTGCTATCTGTGTTCCTGGGCCCAGCTCAGGGACTGCAGCACTATTTTCTAACCCATACTTGCAATACAGTTAGTAACTACGGAGCATCTTCCTTCTAAAGCAGGGAACCTACTATCGCAGTGTTCAGCATTTTCTGGAAACTGATCTCTTTGATGGTAGAAAAATATTTAGCCTATAACCTCACTGATAATGTGAAAATGGATGTCTCCAGTTATTTGCAACTGGATATGCAGCCCTTCAGCCTACAGGAAAGATTAAAATCACTGTCACATGATTATTACTAGGTGAGGATAGCCTTTCTGAAAAGATGACTGTACTTCTCAATTCTAGTAAATACAGACACTTGCATCTTAAAAAGTACAACAATAAGTGGCACCTTTTTGGCAGACTCAGCAGGCATGCTAAAGTTTGTCTCAGCATGTAGAATGAATTAATATTTCTCTCCCAAGAGCGGGGCCTTCTAGAAAAGGCTTAAGGCAGATTGGTGGGGCATTCAAAGGAAAGCTGGGGCGGGGGGAGACTTTTGTTTATATGAACATTTTTCAGATTTAGATCTAGAAACATTTACATGTTTTAATGTTTCAATCTTGTATGGAAAACTCCGCCCCTACCTGTCCATCCCTTATGCATCTGGTCTCCTCTATATTGCACTACACACATCCCATATTGTCTTCTCCTGCTTCTCTCTGTATCCCCACTCTACCCTTTTGTAGTCTGCCACATGTGCAAATCCCTGTCTTTAGCTCTTTGACCCCATTTCCTTGTTTTGGCTCATGCTCCTAACCCGTCTCTCCTGACCCTAACCTGTTTCTGAGCTCCTGGCTCCCAAGGCCTTACAGCTCCTTATCTGCTAAATTTGCCTTCTGTGCACCTACTGCTTGGTTTCTCTGGAGCCCACTCTATGGTCTTCCGGGAAAGATCTGTTGAATACCAGCTATACCTATAGCATATGCAATTTAGGAAGCACCATGTTTCCTTTATTTCTTCCTGTGACAGGATCCAAAGCAATCCTTTTGCTTTTGTCAAGAGGATGAGGCCAGCCTCTTCTCCGTGGGGCCCAGTGACAGGACAAGAGGCAATGGGCAGAAACTGAACCACAGGAACTTCCATCTGAACCTGAGAAAAAACTTCTTCACTGTGAGGGTGACAGAGCATTGGAACAGGTTGCCCAGAGAGGTGGTGGAGTCTCCTTCGCTGGAGATATTCAAAAGCCGTCTGGATGTGATCCTGGGCAATATGCTCTAGGTGACCCTGCTTGAGCAGGGAGGTTGGACTAGATGATCTCCAGAGGTCCCTTCCAACCTAAACCATTCTGTGATTCTGTGATTCTGTCTCCTTGTGCTCACAAGAGAATAACAAAGGTCCCCTAGCAAAGAGAATAACATAGGTTCCCCTAGCACTTGCTTCAAGCTGGCATTGACAGTTTACAGTGCACCTGCATTGAAGTCTTCTTACTATTATTTTGTTTGGTCATGTATACACATCAGTGGTAACAGAAATTCATTGTGAAGAGATTCTAACTACTTGTAACCAGCCTGCAAGTATTCAGTGTTAAAAGAAAAAGGGTGAATAAATCAAATAAGGGATGAGACAGAGAGCATATAACTAAATGTTACTCTCCTGACATCCAGATACAGTTGCCATCTCGGGTAAATAGGGAGAGAGGACTACTCCATTTTCAGTGTCCTCATGAGCACAGTATGGTGCTCCAAAAAGACAGGAGCAAAATTCTCTCCACGCTTCTTCCTGTCCTGAACCCACAATTATAAATGCTGCCCGGCAGAAGTGGCGACTTTGCCAGTTCCTCACAGAGGGAAGGAACAGCGGAGGGTGTAACTTCTGCATGCCCACAAGAATTAGGGAGCATTGTGCCTCCCTCTGATTCTCCTGGACATTGCAATCGTGCCTGGAAGGAATTGTCTCACCTGGAACAACCCAGCTGGTTTACCAGTCCTCCAGCAAATCCGTACTGCACTTTGTTTAGCCTACATTCAAATTGTTCTAGCCACTTAAGAAAACATCTAAAAGGAAATAAACACCAATTAAGGCCGAGCCACTTTAATACAATAAGGATCAGCTCTGGACATCATTTTCTTGCTTTCTATCAGATAAAGCACCCATTTTTGAACATTTCATTTTGTACTTAGATTATGTCTTCTCAGATCAGCTTTAAGCATTACCATCTGTTCTGCAGCAATCACATGATCCTATCACTTTGATTCAGTTGAATACAAATCC